CTATAACTGACTCTGGGAAGTTGTTAAATCGTAGGATGTTTTTCTTGTTGGTTACTTTTTTTCCCATCTTTTGAGGGTACATGTATCTGCATCTAATGATTGACGGATGGCACGTAGGAACTCAGAGGAAGAAATTGCTTTCTTTTCCTGGTTGGCCCTGATGAGTTGTAGTCTGATACCAGTCCGCTGTGACATGGCTTGCGGCATAGTTCATAGGATATAGATCCATCTGGTGAGTAGGGTCCAGCGGATAATGCTCCGTAAATGTTCGGATAATGCTAATCATAATGCTCCAAAACCTACCTTGTAATACTGACTATAATGCTTCAACAAGGGCTATAATGCTCTTGGTTTGGAACAAAAATGGAAGAAAGGCTGCACATTGTCAAACTTCCAGGAAAGGATGCATTTAGTCGATCTGCCTCTTTTTTTTCTTTTTTTTAATGTTTATTTGAATTCGGATAGCTCAACAGTACAGAAGTACAACTACAAAGAGTACCGAATAGAAGGCCCCGAGAACGGGAAACCAAAAAAAAAAAAAAAAAAAAAAAAACAGCAACATCAAGTTACTGATTATGCACATTGCTTGAAAGCAAATCACAACAATGATTAAGAGCTAAGCTGTCTTTTAGCCAAATAGCCAATTTGACGCGGAAATCTGCGATAGTAGTGCAGGACTTCAGGTCGTCTGGTAAATAATTCCAAACAAGAGCCGATTTACTTGAAAAGGACAGAAAGCCAGACATAGATCTATAGCGATTGATACTCATGTTATGAGTTGTAGAGCCGCGAGTAGTTCGGGTAGACGTACAGATGGGAAAGAGGGCCTCTGAAGCTGCTACAATATCTGTCACGAGCTCCACCACTTCATAGCACTATAAGACATGATCGCGTCTCCATTGGCTGCTCTCCATTGCAACTAACTACTTTGATTCAGGGCTGTGGCTGAATAGTGGGTGTATCAAATCTTTTCCCTTGCTTATCCATGTAGTGAGAGGTGAAACCATTATTTGCTGGTGATCATTTGGATGCTGGAAGCATATCATGGGAAGTGGTATTCCTGCCTGTGTAGCGTTGGCACGCTGGGGACTTCAAAGCGTATAGTGATTAGAGTATAGCATATCCCCGTACTGTATCCCCGTACATTAGCGTACGGAGTCTGCCTTTGTATCAAAGCTGCTGCGCACGATTCTTTTATAGCCAGTTAGTTAATTTAGTAATAGTTGCCAATCAGTTATAGTTTTAAATTTCATTGCCAGTTTCCAGTACATTTCAATTGCCAATTACAGTGTGTTCACTGAGACCTTTGTGCGTTCTTGCCTCCAAGAGACTGCGGCCCGCTACAAATTGGTGGCAGCGGTGGGATTCGAACCCACGCCTCCGAAGAGACTGGAATTATAGCCAGTTAGTTAATTTAGTTGCCAATCAGTTATAGTTAATTTCATTGCCAGTTTCCAGTACATTTCAATTGCCAATTACAGTGTGTTCACTGAGACCTTTGTGCGTTCTTGCCTCCGAGAGACTGCGGCCCGTTACACCTGCACTCCTGCAGACAAGCTGTCACTGCTTCCACTCTGTGAAAGATGTTTTCATCTGAAACAGCTCATGCGAGGCCAGTTCCTGGGAGACGATCTCAGATCGAGATCCCTCCCATTTGCGGAAATCCTGAAAACACGTGGTCAGAAGTTATTTTGCCGCTCTACACCCTCTGCTTGCGCTGTCTTCTTCACCTGAGGTTGCGTGGAGACAAATGGTTGGCCACAATACTCTTCTTTTCTGATAGCACTTGACTGTAGACCTCGCATTACAATCGTCCACGACGAACTGTACGTGCTTCACCAGGAAAGTAAGACACGCGCTGCTGAGCACTCAAATCGTCTTGGTACTGCGTCCATGAGAAATTAGGCAAAGGCAGTTATTTGGAACAAGCTCTTTCTTTTTATAGCCGATCCTTCATCCAGGTCCAAATTTATCAATAGATTAATGTTTGCTTCAGTATCACTAGAGATGCTATGGCCAGAGCCTAGGAAACCTCCTCTTCGTCTGTTTGATATTCCCTTCGCGTACAATGTACGTCTAGCCTTCTCATCCATCGCTCTCCAGGATTTCTAAAAAGGACTCGTAAATCATCGTTACGGATTTCGTGTAACAGCCTCTCAGTTGCAACGTTGGCCATGCTACATCACCTGTACATTTACCTGACTACATTGGTACATAAAGACTTTATGTAGTACTAGCAGCACCACCGGCCAGCGTTGCCTGGCCGAATGTGGCATGCGGGTGAAGCAAGTACGTGAACAGCACACGTGCTCAGCACGTGGTGGTGGCCAGACCGCTGAAGTCCTGGTGAGGGAGGTTCTTCATCGTTGGAAGGAGAAGGAGGGACGTCTGTTACGCCTTCAGGAGTCTGGTACATGGTCAGGGTTGTCCATCACCTGGTGGCGGATGAAGCGGCTCAAAAAATTCATAAACTTAGGGGCCGTCCGTAAATTTCGAACTTTTTTCACCAAACGAATTATTTTAGTTTAGACCCAACCCCTCCCTCCCTCCCCCTCAGAACGTAAAAATTGTTGACATACACATGCATATACAGCAAAAGTCGCAAGTGTGTTACTTCTCCTATGGCTATGTACATGTATCGAAGTTTTCTGAAACGAAATTGGTCAACCCCCTCCCACCCCATAACGAAATTATTTCGTTTCGTGAAAAAAGTTCGATAATTACGGACGACCCCTTACGAACAAATGTGCGATGCGCTCTTCACTGCAGATCAGATGCAGAGTGCAGTCAGTGCAGATCTTTTGTATCCTTTTGTTGCAGATGTTTCTATTTGCAGAGAACGGTTCACGTGGTCCGCAGCGCTTGTGCGGCTGCTAGTGCTACCTGAATAGTATGGCCTAGGCTAGGTGGCTATACATGATTCGCACGCTTCGCGTGCTCAGTGCTTCTGCGCGCGGCTGCTACTGCTACTCGTACTGATCGTGTCTGCTACCACCTACACTGTAGCTGTTCGCACACTGCGCGTGCTCAGCACGTGGTGGTGGCTACACGATTCGCACGCTTCGCGTGCTCAGTGCTTCTGTGGCTGCTTCCGCTAGCTACACGATTCGCACGCTTCGTTCGCACGCTTCGCGTGCTCAGTGCTTCTGCGGCCGCTAGCTACACCGTGCTACACTGTTCGCGCGCTTCGCGTGCTCAGGGCAGCGCTGCTCCGCAGCGCTTCAGCGTGACACAAAAACACACGTCACAGGTGCCTCTTCTTTATAAGGAGCGTGACACACACAGACACACGTCACCATGGTCACAGGTGCCTCTCTTTTATAAGTAAAGATTACATGTATGCAGTCAGGTAAATGTAGCATTAGTGCTAAAGCCACTTGTCTACAAAGTCACAAAGTCATGTGCCGGTACAATCATGGCGTTGCACCTCATGGCTTTAGCTGATTGTTGCCAAAAACCTGAGATTTCCCGACATTATCCACTATGAAACTCGATATGCCGCTCAAACCTCACATAATGCTCGTCTTGTTCCTTTCTAATGCTCCATAATGCTCGGATGCTTGGATAGTCTCATAATGCCCAATATAATGCCGGCATTATCCACTGGACCCTACTGGTGAGGCATGGACGGTCGCGTCCATGAAATTGATTGAGCCTGTCAACTCCGTGGATTGGTGAATGAATTTAAGAATATATGCATTAGCATTATTGAAGTGATCTAGGGAACTCTGCAAAAGTTCCGGACCTAGGTTCCACAGAATGAAAACATCATCGATATAGCGCTTGTACAGAACTGGGTTTAGCAAGTGCACTACGCGTAAAGGGGTCGTACGTCAAAATTGCCTCAGGGCATATTATGTGAATAGCCCAGAACATAATAATTATCAATATGTGAAACAGAGAGGCTCCAGGCTGTCCAAAAGAGTGTTCAATACCGAAAGGCAATAATACATAATACCGATGGTTGGCGACTCGATGCCAACGCTATCGCTGTGCGCTGGATATCCTAGGCATTGATATGTCAAAAGCGTTTGACTGTACTTTGAAGTATAAGCAGGCCACGGCTTATCTCGGTGCTGGGATCGTTCTTGCAGCTGGATGAAACCCGAATGATCAGTTACCTCCTCCAGGACACATTACTGAGGGTTGTACTCGCTAAGGGCCCGTCATTCCCCACTCTCCGCCGCACACCCCAAGGTGACTCGTTGTCTCCTGTTCTTGTCATTGTGTACCTTGAGGGTGCGTTGCGTGATGTTCGGCCTCTTCTTCTACCACGTCCCCCTGCCGATATCTCCCTGAGGTTACCAACTGAAACTGCCTACGCCGACGATGTGGATTTCGTGACTACTGATGGTGAGAGGCTGAGGACCCTCCTTCCAACCATAATACCGGTACATACATTGTAATAAGACAGTACATGTACATGTATAAGAGGATGAAAAAGTGTTTTAACTCCGAGTTTCATGATCATCAGAAAACAGTAATGAGTAATTCTTGGTACTGGTTTATAACTTTATATACTTGTACCCACAAAGCAAAACAGTGTAAATGACAGCAGTTGTGAAAGAGTGACTTTGAAAGGTGTGATTGGAACCAATCATCATCATTCTAATCAATAGTAGCAGACAACCAGCTCCAGTGCGTGTGTCACTTGAAGTAGTATCTTTCATCATTGCTGTCATTCACACCTTTCAAAGTCATGCCGTTATACAATCTTTCACACTGCTGGCTTTTACACTTTTGCTTTTACACTTTTTTCATCCTCTTTTAGAATATTCATGAAGTTGGTCGAAGTCGCAACTTCTAAGTTCGTTTTAGAATATTGTTTTAATACTTATGTGAATACGAACTTAGAAGTTGCGACTTCGGCGGTAATAGTCATGACGTTTGTTGTAGGTTTGCCAAGTGGATGGTGCGACGTGCTCCTCGTGTGCTCCAGATGGCAGTCGTGAGTCAGTCAAGTGTCAGGTTCGGCAAGAAGCGTGTGTTCCTCGTTGGAACAACCAACTAATGTTCCTTCATAATTATGTGAATAGTACTTGAAAAAGTTGTTGTTAATTGACAGGCGCTGACATTTTTTCTGTGGTGGAAGAAGGCAATAAAATTGCGGAAAAAGTGAGAAAGGCTTTAAATAGCTTGCTTGCCATAAACTCCTGTAAAAATAGCCGATCAGAGTGATAACTATTATTTTCAGCAGTACTAACATCTGCAATCCGGCGTGCACTGTGCTGGGAGCGGTGCTTTCTTGCAGGCTGGCAAGTGGAATGTTGGATGCGCTCCGGATGGCACTGAATAGTGAGTCTGTTAAGAGTCAAGTAAATCGACATGAAGCATGGGCACGGAGGATCAACCAGCGACTTCGCCCTCTATCACAGCCTAAGTCGCTACTACTACTAGCATAGTTAAAAATTATACCACAGAGAAGTGTAGCACTCGCGTACAAGCAATCTCCATATCTCCACATCTCCATATCTCTATATTCTGGTCGATATGAGCACGATGACACATGATGACACACTGTATTTATGATGGTGATTTCTCGTGCTTCCGTGGCTGCTCGTACTCAGACGTTTGCACGTATGCTGCCAGTATTGCTTGGTAATCTCCTGTGGGCTCCGCTGCAAGACCAACTTCCTGCATTGTGTTGCTGGGCTTGGGAACTGTAGTCGATTCATATAGGTTTTCTGTTCCTAGAGCTTGATAGACAGCGCTTCCAGCGTTTGCTGGTGAGGCATTGGATCCCCTGTGGCAAATAAGGATCAAACCCCGACATTAAGTCTCCGTTATTCTGCTGATGGGAACACGTACATGTATTAGATTGCAGACATACTGTATTATTTCAAGATGAGTTTGTATTCTCTTTGCAGCTTCATTACATCTAATTATGTCGAGGTGCTGACTAGAACAAGCACCACCCTCCCTATCCCATACATTTCCTCGTTCGTGATGATGGTCATAGACCGAAACGTTGGATAAAGGAATTTTGAGAAAAGAGTAGAGAGCAGTGCAATTAATTATTTGAGCCCACAACATTATTTTCTCCAAGCATATTTTGCAATACTACGGATATGCGGACCGGGTATGCCATGAGCAGGCATAGGACGCAGACTCTAAATGATGGCGAGGACAGATCGGATCCATTAACCAGTGACAAGGAGCAAAATCCAGGAATTAGGGCTATACCACATTCGAATACCATACTCTACTCCTGGTGCACAATGATTCCTATATTATCAGATGATACAATCACTGGAGCGTCAACATTACTAGGCTTCAATAATTAGTTTAGTTTCTAAGACGTGTTTATACCATGCAAGAGCTTCACCCCTGGATATGGCTACACTGCCATTCACTGTAGCTATTTTACTTTCTATACATATTTTTCAACAATAAATCGGTATAGTAGGCAAAGACCTGATTCACACCATGTTTCTGCTCCATGGACAATGCAATGTGGAACATGGAAAACAATTCTGAAGTGCATGCACCACAATCCCAGCATAGGATTTACTAGTACCTGTTGGGTGGCTGGTTAGTTGCAGAGGAAAGAGACACTGTCCTGACATCTCGAGTATCTTGCGTCAACTTGCTTCTCTGGGCTTGTCCAGACACTGATTACAGAGCCAAAAGCACATACCAATATCCAACCTTGTGAGCAAGGCCAATCAATGCAGCCTGCGGATTGTGAGCATTTATATTCACAATACCAGTACTATCTTCTGCGATTTCAGGCATGCAAGGAGTTCAACAATAGATAATTCCTAATCATGGAAGAGTGCATTCAATTTCTCAAAGGGGCACAGTACTCAGCACACTGTCATGAAGGACAAGAACACACTGCCATGCAATTACAATGATGCAATAGATGTCTGAGTAGCTTATTGGTAATACCAACTGCTCAGCTCACCCAGTCCCTGCACTGTGACTGACCTTGCTTGGACTGTGTGGGTCTTGGTAAGCGGCCAGAAGCACCTCGTGATCGGTATCGTCCCTGTTTGTTCAATACATTCACGTCCTGGCCAAGAGCTGATGCTGTAGGTATACTGCTGGAGGCACTGTCTTTTACAGACCGGCGTACATCAGAGGTGGGTGATTGGTATTGCTCCTTCTGACTTCCATCTCCCACTGTCTGGTAGACGCTGGTAGTATTTGCTGGCATTGGTGTAGAGTTTGGTGTCATGTTCTTCATGTTCTTCCGTTGAACGTCAGGAATGAGTGTTTCGTATTGCTCTATCTTGCTTGCTGGTGCTGCCTCTTTATCCATGGATGTATGCTTGGGTGACGTCATGCTCTCGGTAGGTACTCTCTCAGCCTGGGCAGGAGTTATACTTTGGTGTTGCTCTGTTGCACCAGCAGGCCCCAGTTGTTGGTACATATTGGTAAACGTTGGAGCAGCAACTTGTGATGTATCCTGTTCCTCCTTCTTGCCTAATTGAGCCATCTCTTCGTATAAGGATGCACCCATTAACGCTGAAGACACTGCAGCATCAATGGCATTCTGTTCCTCCTTTCCCAATGGAGCCATCTCCTCGTACACATATGCGCCCACTAATGCTGGAGACACTGAAACAGCAACTTGTGATGCATCATGTTTCTCTTTCATGCCTAATGGAGCCATCTCTTCGTACATGGATGCACCCATTATCGCTGGAGACACTGCAGCATCAACGGCATTCTGTTCCTCCTTCTTTCCCAATGGAGCCATCTCCTCGTACACATATGCGCCCACTAATGCTGGAGACACTGAAGCAGCAACTTGTGATGTATTCTGTTCCTCTTTCTTGCCTATTGGAGCCATCTCTTCGTACGCAGCTGCACCCATTAACGCTGAAGGATTCGAAGTTGTTTCGGTTGATGATGTCCCCCTCACTTTCGTCATAGCTGAGTAATATGGTGTATTCTTCTCAACAGATGCCGGACCTATATCATGATACAATATTGTTGTGGCGAATTTGTCACCTCCACTGCCACTGAAACAGAAAAGAAAATACAATCATGTAGATGGATGGTGTACACTGGACAGAACCTACCATCACAAATATGAACAAATGAGATTTTCCTGAATTGGTTTATCCAAGAAAAGTTACAAGTCTGTCCTTACACAGCAGGGTCTCACACTACCCTGTAAGCGCACCTACTTATTATCCTTTTTTTCAGTTCACACAGCGAAAATGCGGCCACTAATCTATCGTTCCGGGTGCTCTGTGCTCCCCATACGTTACATTTTTTGTGCCAAAGCTATAGTGGAACATGGGTGAACAGTTTGTTTCTCCTAAAACCCAGAAGGTTTCCGGGATAGTGAGTGAAGCTTGCAGTAACAATGAATTTTTCATCCTCTTCTACTTGTTCAAAACAGAATAAACATGGAAGAGCAGGAAGTGAACTACACAGACTGCAACATCGTTACATGCAGAGAAAAAACTTTAACCACACCTCTTAATTTTATTTTTACCCGAAAGCCTTCTGAGGCAAACAGTCACGCCATGATTTGATAAGTACACCGAGTGCTAGTCGTCATTACAGTTTCAGCTCCACTCTCGCTTCAGTAACTAACGTCTGCGATTGTGTTGTTTACACACATCTCGGAGAACACCACATGGTCCTACAGCTACACGGCCGCCAGTTTGTAATACTGCCGTGAGTCGGTGCGGCTGCCATACCGCACCCTTACTCTCCCAACTGGCGATTCTATGCAAATTTACCTCTCCAAGGAAAGAGAGAGAGCGGGGGAGGGGGGGGGGGGGGCGGAGGAGAGCCAGATCTTGTCCAATCAGTTCGAGCCACTTCCAAATACTTGACGTAAGTTTGTATTTCTATTGCATGTTGCAGCACAACCGGTTAATATGCTGTTGTGCAAAGTATGTTGAGCTTAGACAGGCTGGAAGTGACAAACAAATTGCTATTTCTTACCTCCTGGTCTCTTGGGAGCCCGGTGAGAAGGTGGATTCCACCATCTCCAATGCTGGTTGACTAGAGAGGGCCTTTTTGAAAGGTCGTCTACCTTTTTCTTCTTCATTTACTGCAGACATTGTGGGACAGGACACAGGAGGGAAAAAATGTTAACTGAAAGTGCAATCTCCATTGTGTACGAATATGCACAGGTCTATAGTCTATGCCACACATGGATTTAGAACCTGAGTTGTGCTACAATCCGGACACTCACCAGTTGAATAGTTCGACAGAACCACCAGGTCGTAGTTGTCTCTAGCTTGGAGGGAGGAGAATTTACTTCTGATGCTTATTGATGTGCTCTTCCCACCTGCCACTTCGGATTCATGTCCACCTCCGGTCCTAGGACATAGAGGAAGGGGGGGGGGGGAGGGGGCAGAAGAAGTGAAACATGATTACATTTAATCAATTTTTCCACTACACATTCGAAATAAGCTGGCTTTGTTTCTAAACACAACATGGATGACGGTAAGGAGACCGAAGAGTTGGATTTCGAAATAAAGATCTCATTTCTGTGTGCTGTGGCCATGCAAGTTATGTCAAGCAGTTGTTGACAGCTCTTAAAGCTCTCTGTTCTTTTAAAACTATTCATTTGCACAAGCCTAGTCTATGTCAGCAAAAGCGCATGCTGTAGCTAAGGTATTCTCATAAGTGTGCAAATGTATGGAGTATCGTTTATAATACGCATTGTTACCACCCAATGTTTGATGTTACAGCACAGTTTTTTCACCAAGTCCTTTGAAGCAATAATCTTCTTCTTTGGGTGAAAGAGAGATTTTAAAAGTGGGAGGATAACATAATAATAATTATTATAATTATGTCTTACATACACCCCCCCCCCACCCATACACACACACAGATGCACACGCACGCACACAAATGCACACACACCCATACACACACACAGATGCACACGCACGCACACAAATGCACACACACCCATACACACACACAGATGCACACGCACGCACACAAATGCACACACACCCATACACACACAGATGCACACGCACGCACACAAATGCACACACACCCAATAAATACACACACGCACGCACGCACGCACAAACACACACACACACACACCTTCCTCTGATAAGGACAATCAGAATGATGACAATGACCAACACCAGCAGTACTCCACCAACACCAGCTCCCACACCTATTGCCAATGCGTTTCCTGGACACAGAACAGGAGAAAGCAGGTGCAAGTAGCAGAGACTCTCTTGGCATGGTATGAAACAAGGCAAACTGAACGCTCATAGCCACAGCATAACCTTGAAAAATGTTTTCCTTTAGGCGTTGAAGTTTCACTGCAGCCACGTCATAAAAATGATAAACCCTGACAGTTACAGCATCACAAACTCAAGTGGTCTCTTCACTACAAACCAGTGCGATTTCAAGCAGGTTTTTGGTCAGGAGCCATCATCAATAATGAAGGTTTAACTGGTGAGGTGGACCTATTTTCAATTTTTTATGCAAGGCAAGGCGGAATTATGTACGTCATACGCTACAAGGCACCCCATCATAAAAATGATGCACCATGAACACACACCAACACACATACACACACACACACACACACACACACACACACACATACACACACACACACACACACACACACAGGTGTGAACAACGCTTGGTGTGAGGAGTGGTGGGAGTGGGACTATAAAATAAACAAAATAACAACGACAACGATAGCGACAGCGACATCCACAACCGCAACGGCAACCGCAGCAGCAGCAGCAGCAGCAACAGCAACAGCAACAACAACAACAACAACAACAACAACAACAACGGCAGCCGCAGCGGCAGCGGCAGCGGCTGCGGCAGCGGCAGCGGCAGCGGCTGCGGCAGCGGCAGCGGCAGCGGCAGCAGCAGCAGCAGCAACAGCAACAGCAACAGCAACAGCAACAGCAACAGCAACAGCAACAGCAACAGCAACAACAACAACAACAACAACAACAACAACAACAACAACAACAACAACAACAACAACAACAACAACAACAACAACAACAACAACAACAACAACAAGGGTGCAAGCGCGGTTGCCTTTGATGCATCATGTAGCTGGTGTCCTGTAAGCTACTATCATGTGCCATGATGTGGCTGCACACAGCTGGGGAGCTGAAGGCTGCTTGGCCAACGACCTGGCGTTGCTTGTTGGATGGTACGGGTATGGTCAAGAGTATATAATAGGGGTTATGTACTCTTGGTATGGTGGTACGTTGAAATAGTTCACTGGGTTTCAAGGTATTCCAGCCCTTCAATGCTGCAAGCTCTTCCTGTACAGCAGCAGCAAGATCAGCTTTTAGGTCAGCAATTTTGTCCGCCTTTTCGGCCAATAGTGATCTTGTAGGGGCCATATCTATCATAGCTTTCTGGGTAAGGCCCTGCTGCGCGTCATGCAAGGACTGACCTGTTGGTGGGGTCTTACAGAGTTTAGTTGTACGCAATTTCTGGACCAGCTGAGCCCATGAAAGTCCAGTGTGTCCATCAATCTAGTGGACCTTTGCGAGTTCCTTCAGCTCCTTGCTCTCAAGAATGGGAAGGTCGACCTGCTCCTTGTGAGCCATTGTCTACTAGAAATGCACGTCCTTGGCTAGGTGATTGAATTTCCGAGAAACTTTCATCTACACAACATTCCACTGAATCACACACTATTGGGTGGAGCACCAACATGGGACACTTACCAGTCATGATTTGCTGGTGCACGGTTATGGCTGTTGCAGTTGTTGATGTACTTGTCGGAGAGGTTACTATCTTTGTGGATGTTGCATCCGGTTGCCTGGATAGTGAAGTTTGAAATATTACTTGTAAAGTGGTCAATCCGGTTTTTACTGTGGGTTTAGTTGTTGTTGCTGCCGTTTGAGGTGTTGGTGGAAGTGTTTGGGTTGTTGTGTCCCCGCTTCCTTGTTCTGTTCACATTTGCATCATAAAAGAACTGTTAGAGGACAAGGATGATCATAGGCTCATACAATAAATTGTGTGAACATTCATGCTGGAAGGGTTATCCTTGGGAATATTCCTGGTTATGAGTGGTACCAAGAGTAGATAAACAAGAGTGTGCAACTCCGGGATGGGTTGGCCCGCGGCGGAATTTTTTTTTGACGTAATCTTTTCGACGATGCACGCGCTGCGAGTCTTTTGGAAAGTTTTTGCCTCGTGCACTTGGCCGGGCTTTACATTACAAAGTCGGTGCCCAGCACGTGCTCTCACACTGCCCTGGGGCAAAATGAGCGTTCTTCTGAAAAAAAGGTGACGTCAACAAAAAATTCCGCCGCAGGCGGGGGTATCTGCAGATTGTGCAGAAGAGATCCGGAGTTGCACACTCTTGTTTATCTACTCTTGGTGGTACTACTAAAGTCAGATTTGTGCTTTTGTGTGCAGCTCTGTTTGTGCAAATGTGGTCATCTAATGCCTACTTGTGGTTGGTCATTTTTCCACCCTTTCTGTCCTAGACAGTACGGTACGGAAAACTATATGGGATAGCGCCAGGCATGGCGTGTCACGTGATGACTGCCCTACAGTAAGATCGGGCGCCGAAGAACACCTCGCCGAAGAACACCCAGGCTGGAAAACCGGCAAAATTTAAGAACAGTCCAGGCTAGAATTATCAGATTTAAGAACACTTTTAAAATTTTCATACATGTACTTACACGAAGTTGCGAATTTACACGTAGATCTACATTGTACATGTATGGGAGGTGAGTACATGTCATGTACACGTGTAAACAGTAACTGCTACATGTACATGATGTACAGTCATTCCCATTTACGACACCCACTAGTTTAGAAGTACTACATTGCACTACATGTACAAGTCATGTACATGTATATGACAAACGTCATGACGTCACTCGACTCGCCGCGCGCGTGTGAATAAGAACAGTCTGGCTAGAATCAAAAATTTAAGAACTTTCCTAGGCTGCGCTCGAGCCCCTGCGTTCTTCGACGCCCGATCTTACTGTACCACACAACACACAGATACACACACAACACACACACACACACACACACACACACACACATCCACACACACACACACACACATGCACGCATACACACACACACACACACACACACATATACACACGCACACACACACACACACACACACACACACACACACACACACACACACATACACACACAAACACCCCCCGATTTAAAGCGCGGTGGACCCTGGCTAGTGCAAGACGCGACTAAAGTAACGTCTTTTTAAGTTTTTTTAGATGTCTGTTTATCGTGACAAACATCTGGGTGCGGCATCTATCCCGGAAAATACGGTATAAGCAAAATTAACACTACTGTGGCTTAGTTTGAGAATCAGCTCTGTCTGGGGATCACCACTCTCAACACTAATCGAAATATGTTTTCCTGCTTTTAATATCTCATGGATTAAATGATCCGACTCATCGACAAAATGTAGTTTGCTAATATTCTCACCTGAACTTGCAGCAGGCTCCACTACTCCTATAATGTAGGGAGTAACAAGGGTGCAAGCTCGGTTGCCTTTGATGCATCATGTAGCTGGTCCCCTGTAAGCTACTATCATGTGCCATGATGTGGCTGTACAAGGCTGGGGAGCTGGGGGCTGCTTGGCCAACGACCTGGCGTTACTGGTTGGATGTTACGGGTATGGTCAAGAGTACATAATAGGGGTTTCAACTGGTCACTAGTTTCAACGTATTTCCGCTCTTCAATGCTGCAAGCTCCTCGTGTACAGCAGCAGCAAGATCAGCTTTTAGGTCAGCAATTTTGTCCAGCTTTTCGGCCAATAGTGATCTTGTAGGGGCCATATCTATCATAGCTTTCTGGGTAAGGCCCTGCTGCGCGTCATGCAAGGTCTGACCTGTTAGTGTGGTCTTGCCGAATCGACTTACTTGCAATTTCTGGACCAGCTGATCCCGAAAGTCCAGTGTGTCCATCAATCTAGTGGACCTTTGCGAGTTCCTTCAGCTCCTTGTTCTCGAGAATGGAAAGGTCGACCTGCTGTTTGTGAGCCATTGTCTACTAGAAATGCGCGTCCTAGGCTAGGTGATTGAATTTCCGAGAAACTTTCATCTACACAACACTATAATAGCAATAAGAAGAACATATTCTGCTATCATCGCCACACTACAACGAAGTCATGAAAGTTTACCAAAATCGATTTTCTTGTCACAATCATCGGTGGAAAGTCGTGACTGAAAAGTAACCATGCTGAACAATGATTAAATATACATTCAATAATTATGTTACGAGAACCAAATAAAGTGCTAAACATGATAGAATGAGGGAAGGTGAGATAATAGAAGTGAAGTGAGAGCTAAGTGCAACGGTTGTAGTGTGGAGATGACAGCAGAATTATTTTGTTCTTATTGCTATTATAAAATTATTGTTGTCTCCACGTTGATTATCTACACAACACTCCACTGAATCACACACTATTGCGCGGAGCTCCAACATGGGACACTTACCAGTCATGACTTGCTGGTGCATGGTTATGGCTGTTGCAGTTGTTGATGTACTTGTTGGAGAGGTTACTATCTTTGTGGATGTTGCATCCGGTTGCCTGGGTAGCGAAGTCTGAAATATTAGTTGTAAAGTGGTCAATCCGGTTTGTACCATTGGTTTAGTTGTTGTTGCTGCCGTTTGAGGTGTTGGTGGGAGTGTTTGGGTTGTTGTGTCCCCGCTTCCTTGTTCTGTTCACATTTGCATCATAAAAGAACCGTTAGAGTACAAGGATGATCATAGGCTCATACAATAAATTGTGTGAACATTCATGCTTGAAGGTTTATCCTTGGGAATATTCCTGGTTGTGAGTGGTACTACCAAAGTCAGATTTGTGCTTATGTGTGCTGGTCTGATTGTGCAAATGTGGTCATCTAATGCCTATGTCGTATCCGGACGGCCCGGGGTTAGACACCAAGGCTGCGGTTCGACATGAACTAATTTACTAAACCTTCACATTACAAGGCCGTGCAGTGGTACGACACCTACTGGTGGTTGGTCATTTTTCCACGCTTTCTGTCCTGGACAGTACGGTACGGGACATTATAATAATGGGATAGCGCAAGGCATGGCGTGTCACGTGATGACTGCCCTACCACACAACACACACACACACACTCACACACACGCACACACGGACACACACACACACACGCACACACATACATACACACACACCCCGATTTAAGGCGCTGTGGACCCTGGCTAGTGCTAGACGCGACTAAAGTAATGTCTTTTTAAGTTTTTTTAGATGTCTGTTTATCGTGACAAACATCTGGGTGCGGCATCTATCCCGGAAAATACGGTATAGGCAAAATTAACACTACTGTGGCTTAGTTTGAGAATCAGCTCTGTCTGGGTATCACCACTCTCAACACTAATCGATGTGGACAGAAGTTGTGTCACGCGTGGTCAGGTCAGCCAGCTGCTCAGAGTGCCGTTCCTACCTGGTCCCTCAGGCCGTAGCTCTATCGCCTTTGTTGACAGTACCACATGGAACTGTCTCCCTGCTGATATTCCCGCTTGCGACGTACGCCACACGTTTCAAGCATTGCTGTCTGGCTATGACCTTTTCTCCCTCCTCAACTAGCTCTCCGATGTTGTTGTTTCTTTATTTTACTTCACCATATGAACAGGCAAGACTGCCTTCTCACCGGGGCTATGGGCCCACGGCTCTCACAATATGATGAAAATGTGTATGAAGAAGAAAGGAACGGAAAAGAAGATGAAATGAAAGGAAAGAAAACAGTAGGTATTAATTTTATGAAGGGGGGGGGGTATGAAATGGGTATTATCATAGTTGATGAGAGAAGTATGATATCCAATATTCTTGTTCTATAGACTATTTAGTACGGGCATTTCATGAGAGTCATGCATGGGCAAGGCAGGATTTGGACTAGGATAGAAGAACATAATTGATGAGCATCTGTTCAGGCAGAATCTGCGATGTTGTGCCTACTATGTCTTCTTCACAGATTCTGCCTGAACAGATGATCATCATTATTATGTTCTTGTCCTCTATCCTAGTCCAACTCCTGTCTTGCCCATGCATGACTCTCATGAAATGACCGTACTAAATAGTCTATAGAACAAGAATATTTGATATCATATTTCTCTCACTATGATAACACCCATTTCATACCCCCTCCCCGTCATAAAATTAATAACTACTGTTTTCTTTCCTTTCATTTCATCTTCCTTTCCGTTCCTTTCTTCTTCATACACATTTTAAACATGTTCATCATATCGTGAGAGCCGTGGGCCAATAGCCCCGGGTGAGAAGGCAGTCTTGCCTGTTCATATGGTGACGTAAAATAAAGAAACAACAACAACAACAAATAAATATGTTGTCCTGCTTGTAATATCTCATGGATTAAATGATCGGAATGATCGACAAAATGTAGTTTGCTAATATTCTCACCTGAACTGGCAGCAGGCTCCACTACTCCTATAATGTAGGGAGTAACAAGGGTGCAAGCTCGGTTGCCTTTGATGCATCATGTAGCTGGTCCCCTGTAAGCTACTATCATGTGCCATGATGTGGCTGTACAAGGCTGGGGAGCTGGGGGCTGCATGGCCAACGACCTGGCGTTGCTGGTTGGATGTTACGGGTATGGTCAAGACTACATAATACTAATATTAATAGGGGTTTCAAATGGTCACTAGTTTCAACGTATCCCCCCCCCCCCCCTCCCTTCAATGCTACAAGCTCCTCGCGTACATCAGCAGCAAGATCAGCTTTTAGGTCAGCAATTTTGTCCACCTTTTCGGCCAATAGTGATCTTGTAGGGGCCATATCTATCATCGCTTTCTGGGTAAGGCCCTGCTGCGCGTCATGCAAGGACTGACCTATTGGTGTGGTCTTGCAGAGTCCACTTACATGCAATTTCTGGACCAGCTGAGCCCGAAAGTCCAGTGTGTCCATCAATCTAGTGGACCTTTGCGATTTCCTTCAGCTCCTTGTTCTCGGGAATGGAAAGGTCGACCTGCTCCTTTTGAGCCATTGTCTACTAGAAATGCACGTCCTGGGCTAGGTGATTGAATTTCCGAGAAACTTTCATCTACACAACACTATAATAGCAATAAGACGAACAAATTCTACTGTCATCGCCACACTACAACGAAGTCATGAAAGTAAGTTTACCAAAATCGATTTTCTTGTCACATTCATCGGTGGAAAGTCGTGACTGAAGAGTAACCATGCTGAAAAATGATTAAATATACATTCAATAATGTGTTACGAGAACAAAATAAAGTGCTAAACATGATAGAATAAGGGAAGGTGAGACAATAGAAGTGAAGTGAGAGCTAAGTGCAACGGTTGTAGTGTGGCGATGACAGCAGAATTTGTTCTTCCAAAATTGTTGTCTCCACGTCGATTATCTACACAACACTCCACTGAATCACACACTATTGCGCGGAGCTCCAACATGGGACACTTACCAGTCATGACTTGCTGGTGCATGGTTATGGCTGTTGCAGTTGTTGATGTACTTGTTGGAGAGGTTACTATCTTTGTGGATGTTGCATCCGGTTGCCTGGGTAGCGAAGTCTGAAATATTAGTTGTAAAGTGGTCAATCCGGTTTGTACCGTTGGTTTTGCTGTTGTTGCTGCCGTTTGAGGTGTTGGTGGGAGTGTTTGGGTTGTTGTGTCTCCGCTTCCTTGTACTGTTCACATTTGCATCATAAAAGAACCGTTAGAGTACAAGGATGATCATAGGCCCATAGAATAAATTGTGTGAACATTCATGCTTGAAGGTTTATCCTTGGGAATATTCCTGGTTGTGAGTGGTACTACCAAAGCCAGATTTGTGCTTGCATGTGCAGGTCTGATTGTGCAAATGTGGTCATCTAATGCCTACTTATGGTTGGTCATTTTTCCACACTTTCTGTCCTAGACAGTACGGTACGGAACATTATATGGGACATCGCCAGGCATGGCGTGTCACGTGATGACGGCCCTCCCACACAACGCACAGGCACACATACACACGCGCACCAATTTGAAGCACTGTGGACCCTGGCTAGCGCTAGGTGCTACTAAAGTAACGCCTTTTGCATAGCTTCGGGAATAAATCAATATTCTGTCTCTCAGTCCAAACCCGAGCGTGGCATTTGAGCTACCCCAGGGAAGGATTTCGAGAGGTGCTATTTGCGCATGGTCGATGTGTGTTTTGAGTTTTCTAAACACAAGCATGGTACCTTTGCAATTTGAAATTTGGTTAAAACAATTGCAGGATAACCGCAATCAATAAGACAAGTTGAATCGACATTTGTGTATATAATTATGTACTTTATTCATGCAATGTGCTGGACCTTTGCATTTGCCAAGTACTTGATTGCTATTGGTGGTCATCCTGCAGCTAGACCAAAGGAAAATGTCCTCCAATTCCTCGTGCAAATGCCACAACCATGATGTGAAGTTTGCTGCTTATTTTGAGCTCTTGACAACTACATGTAGTATTATTAATTGCGCAGACAGTTTGGTAAGGGGAAGCTCAGCTCTGGATGCACAGGCTCAGGACCCGAGTGAAAGCGGCATGCTTCTACGCCATGGTACAGAATCAACTACATGTACAACTAATGGACATCCTCAAAAGCCTGACAATTGAAATGCAAGAGTCCCGATGCTGACAGAAGTGCGCTAGCACTACCGGCATGCCTACCAACTATCCCGATTTGGCCAGGACCGTTCCAGTATATCGAGGGTGGTAATAGGCACCCAAAAGTGCATTTATCGCATGCCTCACAGCTTAATGACAGCTACATTTGTATACAGTTTTATACCTATGTCTGCAATTGTCTCGATCTCAGGTTTGCAAAGGTAGGCAGGTATGCACTAGTAAAGGCGAAGAAGACAGAATGTTTCTGGCTAGTGAGTCTTGTTTGAATTCACTGTTTTTCTAGCAGCAAACATGACACGCGTCTCTCGTACAGCTAGATGACCTGCTGAAGTTCTGGTTACAGTACTCATACAGTCACTGCACAATGCCGGCTGGCACTGCTGTGGATAGCGGTGTGCTCGAAAAATGGTGAGAAAATGATTCGTTGCGGTCGCAAAAATCCAAAAATCCGTCCAAGGCCAGACCGGCTGGTACTCTTTCACCGCCCCTGTTAGCCACTAGTCTTCTGTGTGGTCTATAAAGGTGACGTCTCAAAAAGGACTCTCCAGTTTAAAAATTGTATTCTGTCCGGCATGCAAATCGAACCACTTCGGTTCCATCATACATTCTGTGCTATGCAGATCAAGTCTCCGTTACTAGCCCTCAATTTTAGCTTCAGGATTGAGGGATAGTATTACATGTATGTATATCACCATACAACGGCCCACAGAACGCAAACCACCCCGAACAAACCATAAAGGGTAGCATGAACTGCCGACACCATAAGGCAAGGTACTAGTATTTTTTTTTTTTTTTACTGAGTACACAACCTACTCGTCAGAAGGGGAGAAGACAACAGAGTATACAATAATAAAACAGCAGGGAAAGTACGGGCTGCAAAGCAAGCCTGTGCTGGTAAGGCAAGTCCACAACACTAGGGGTGTGCGGATAATGCTCGAAAAGGTGGCAGATTCTGCTCGAAAAGCAGTGAAATTGGCAGAACCATACAAACCTTATAGCCGGCAATTCCTCGAATTCTGCTCCATTTCTTTATCCACATACCAAGCATGCATGAAACTTACCAGAAAAAGTACCGAATTCTGCCAATTTTTCTGCCGGCATTACAGTGTATCCGCATATGCGTACACAACACCGGCCTATGCCTATGGTCTCGGCGTTAACGTGAGCTTGCGAACCATAGCCTAAAAGAAGGGGTGATTTAGTGCGATAAAGACAACGGAAGGTGAGGTAGAATGGTTGAGGATAGAGGTTACGCTAATAATCAATATCAAGGTGGTGAGTCAGAGGAACTGCGGTGGGCTCTATGTATACAGAGTGAGGGGCTCTATGTGTTCAGAGTGAGGGGCTCTATGTATACAGAGTGGGTTGCTAGTGAATCGCTGTGCCACAACTTTGTCAAAGGATCTCAACTGATGATGATGTAAACCCCTAACCTCTATGAAGCAGTAATATATGCCGATCAACACCCTTAGGACTGGAGTGGGAGGGGGAGAAAAATCCGCGTAAGAAAAGCCACAGCAAAGTGACATAAATGATGTCAAGCACCATAATTATTTTGCTGATATCACATTTAGAGGTAAAAAATCAAAAAATAGGAGCGAATTTGCAACTAGTTGGGGAACAAAATGTTCAAGTTATCCACAAAACGAAAGGCATATTTCCTTTGAGTCATTTCATAATAAGATAACCATGAAAGACACACGCCTTGCAACTCTCTTCTGCCAATGGAACGCGTACCATTCTAAGCTGTGCGAGGTATCCATCGCAATGATCACCAGGATGGATGCGGTTTTTTTCTTTTTCTTTTTATACTATGTGCACATCCCTAAAAAATGATGGGGAAATGAAAGAGACAACGACAAAAGCAAGAGCTGTGCTGGTCGGGCGCAGTGCACTCTTCCGACCATTCCCGTCTCGGAATCAACATGGACTGTGCGGGCCAAGGGGGTAGGTATACTGTGCTAGTATAAATGATAGACTTATATTAAGAGCATCTGAAAATGCACCAGAAATGGGAGAGAAGACTAAAAAAAACAAAAGATTAATGTAAAAGGAAAGGAAAGGGACATATGGACACAAGTTAAGAACAACTGTCCCCCACTGTAACTAAATACTATAATTATACAGTCAGAAAGTGCAACAACTTGGCACAAAACTTACAGAGTACTGAGACATTCGATGACCTGACACCTAGCTCCAACACATCCACCACATTGTTTTGCAGTCAAAAAGTCCATCACATTGTAATGCATGAGGAGTACTGACTACTGTAGGAGTTTGGCGTTCGGTTTTGTACAGTTTGTACAGTTCGGTTTTGCTGCTTTGCTGCTTCGAATTGTAGTTAGACCGCTTTGTCAGATATCTTACTAGTCTCGTGATCGTCCAGTAACAGTCAACATTCGTTGTTCCCGTGGGACTGTTGCTTGTACTCCTTTTCGTTGCGCTTACCTTCCTCTCTTTGGTCTACCTTACTTTGAGAGCCGCCCCATACTTGAATGTGTAGAATTCTACACACTCGACTGTGAGATTTCAACAGGCCGTAACTCGGTCAAAACTAGCTCAAATTCAACGATCCAAATATCAGAATTTCTATGTCGAAGAGAAAACTCTCAGCGTGCCGTAGAACCCATCCGCGACGCTCTGCGATCAACGGTTCCTGAGATAAATCGCTTAACTTAGAAGCGTCTGAGTTGGAAGGCTGTTGGTGAGTGCTCCAAATAAACAGTGGGGCAATGTGTACATTGTGTGTACATTGCCAAGCTGAAGCTTGAACTGTGTGCAAAAGAAGTATGTTCGAAAGCTGTCACTGTTTTGGCATTGTAGTATTGTCGCCCCAACTGTTGTTTGATAATCCGTTGTTTATTGTTTGTTTCACTGTGTAGTTGGCGCCACTAGTGCTATCTTAGGTGCTATTTAGTCACTGCTCTGACTGCCAAAGTGCCTGTTATAAAGACTTACTTTCTGCCGTGTTAATAATCACCATCAGTGTACATGTACTTGAAAAGTAATGGCACTAAAGGCCTAGTCGAAGCTATATAGGCAAGATTAGCACAAGCATTCCATCCTTACCTGGGGGACCGAGCGTCTCCTGTCCGGTCGCAGTTAGCATCAACACACACCAAACACTGACCGCCGACAGGAGCGAGGTGGACAACCGCCGGTTTGCCATATCTTTCCTGACCGCCACGGCTTTAATGACTCTCCAGTCTGTGAAAGACTTCAATCGTACTCCTTCCCTCTTCAGGAGCCGCTCGACGTACAGCAAACAATCCTGTCAAACAAGGCACTGTTAGAGACTGGCGGGTTATGGGACAGGTAGTCGCGAACACTACAAGCAGCACCAGTGACAATCCCGTGTGCTCTTCTTTCATCGAAGCTCCAATCACTGAAGGTTGTTTACCTGTCGCTAGTAACGTCTCCAATGACTCTCCATTCTCCGGAACTATGAAAAACAGGTCTTTTTTCTACGGCCTCGTATTAGTACCCAGCGTTCCGATGTTTCTTCCTGCACACGTCTCCGAGATTTTTTAGAAGGAGAGCTCGCGGGCTAGTCAATGCATGCTCACACAGTCCATCTGCACGAAAGGATGCCGTGGAAGGAACAGGAACGAGAATCCAACAGCAAACAACGCAAATAACGACTATCTACATCTGATAGTCTTCCATTGCGGATTCATTCAAAAAATCCGTTTCCTAACACTCACATCCGGACCATCGGGTCGTCATCGACAACGACACGTCGTTACGTCTTCGTTCGTGCGCTTTGTGCGCGTGCAGGTCCAGAATCGGCGCACAAACGCTATGCTTGCACACCGGAGCAGATCAGGATGCCTGGCCGCGGGAGAGAGAATCTGCGACAATGGTGACTGTATGACCAAGCTGGCCGTTGCCGTGTTGAAATCGGGGAGTCGTGGGCTTTTACCATGTTAACTAACAACTCCTTGGTAGAAATCTACCAAACGTCATATCAGCACATGTACATGTAGACAAATTATGTACGTGTTGACGTATGCTTGACGGGTTTTTCTGGCAGCTGAGGTGACCAGGGTGACCCTGCCTGTGTGACTGTGTCTCCTGTCTCCTGTCGTCTTCATCGGCAGAAAGTGCAATTAATAATAATGAGGTCTGCTCTCCCTCCCCGTGCAGTTCAGTAACCCGCACGTAGTATCACAGATACATCGTATTCTCTCTCTCCCCCCGTTTACCCTCAGTTACAGTTATTAGTATCCTATTCTCTTAGTATGTGCTTCCATAGCTTTTACTATGTTCTTCCATAGCCACTTCTAGGCTAAGCCTTCGCCGTCATTTTATTGGGTCGTAATCAGGGAGTCGTATAGACTCGGGAGGCGACACGAGGCCTTCCGGGCCGACTATGATTGACTCGCGGCACTTTCTCCCACTTTTCCCTCAGATATCCCCGGTGCGTGCCCTGAGTTATAAACCAACTACTCCGCGTACTTATGCCATGGGAGTGCACTCCTTGGGGAACGGACTCGTGCAGGATCGATAGGATCGTGGGAAATCGTAGCTAGAAAAGAAGAAGAAGAATGAACTACTTAGTTGCATTTGATGATCGTGATGGAGGCAGAGAGTGCTGCTGATCGCGATCCAGATCCGGGTCAAGAATCACCTCCTGATCCTAAGGAAACCTCAGCTGACGTAGATCTACGTTCTCTTCGCGTGAACGCTCAGTCTGTGAAGGCTTGGGCCACAGGTATGGTTTGAATTCTAATTTTCTCATGATGTTATTATATTTTTCAAGTTGTCCTGAAACTTTCAACCTTGCTACTTAGCGGCTTCTGATCTGGTGCACGTACTGCAGAAAAAGTTGCGAATAATCATGAATTGGAAGAAATACGTGTGGGTTGATAGAGTGCAGGACTTGTTCAATGGTTTCTACAGAGCGTTCCGAATCCCAGCCGCTAAAGACCCACAGAAGGCAAGAAGCTTGCGTTGCAAAGCTGCTGTCCCGCCTGACTGCGGAGAAAGAAGACTCGTTTATGGTTGTTCTACAGCCGCTGCTGACGTCCATCAGCTCTGTCCTGCTCCCAGCAGCAGATAAGCCTGGATTTCAATGAGTCGTGTCCCAACTCCGGTGTGAACGATTTCCTGACGTCAAGACGAAGTGGGGTCAAGTCATGGGTGTTGCAAAGGAAGCTGTCACAAGATGAATTGATCCAGTATTGAACGGTAGGTTTTGTAAAGCTGCTCTAGCATTTGGATACTATAAATTATAACATTAAATTATTACTTGTATTCACGAAGCCATGCCCAAGACGTGCGACATAGCGTGCGTCCATGTGTATATGTGTGCGTGCGTGTGTATATTGTGTGCGCGCTTGTGCATGTCGTAAAATCCCGCCAGAGCACCCCTACCTCCGCAACCATTCGAGTAGATCCATTTGGGGAGGGGCGGATGGGCGAGTCCTGCTTGCCGCATTCAGTACTACATGAAAAAGTACTCACCCTACGAAAACTGTGCGTGCGTCTCGTACACCCAACAAAAGTCAAGAGCTGGGATTCGTACAAACCCATCAAAACCCTAGGGTGTGTGCGCTCTCTGGTCAAGAGGGTGGGAACTGTTGCGTACATTTCCAACCAGGGTCGAGGACGCGTCTGCAGTACAGTACGACCTCACACTTCACATAGTCATACGAGGATACAACTCTATTGATAGATAAGATAACGTGCTAGTAGATCTCTGCCATGCCAAAGTAGTTACATTCAGTAGAGGTAGTAGTCTCTGTCAAACGTGTTTGCCATTGGCTCACTGCACTTGTAGCAGCTGATCGGACGATGCAAATGGACTCCCAGTCCACATTAGCTGGTTCTTGAGATGCTTCCGAAAATATACCATGGCACGCACTTTCCACTGTTTTTACATAGGGCCGGAAGTGTGTTGTCCTGAGCTTGCCACGATACTTTCCGATCTGTCCATCTCCTCTCTTTGTTAAGTTGGAATTTTTTGAAGAGCTGATGGCTGGTAACTTGCTGGTCAGCTGGTAGGAATACGTTTGCAAGTGTTGCTGCTGATTTGTACATTGAATTGCCGGAGTGACGTGGCGTTGAGTAGTTTTCCCCAGCAATGAACTGAAGAGTAGCATGCGTATTGAATTCTCTTGTTGCCGGTTCATCGGTCCCTCTCCATGACACCGGACTAGACTGAATTACTGGCATCCCTTCATCGGCCTGCTTTTCGCCTCGAACTTCACGAGTCTTGAAATCTGGACCCAAAATAATAAAAGTGGGACTCAATTGCGCAGTTCAGACGATAAATTGATGCAATAAGGGGTCATCGCAAAAGTGTTTAGTCATCCCTGAAAAAAACATCAATCATTTCGTACTCGGACCCCCTCTCCACCCTCCGAAATGAATGGACGACGAAAATCGCATGCATATACATGTGTATGCATAGCGTCAGTCAACAGAGATTTTAGCTCCCCCCCCCCCCCTGGAACGATCTTCGTTTCAGGGACGACCAAAAACTTGTGTGACCACTGACTTTCTTTCTCTGTTATCAAGCAGTATGCAGTATTTGTAACAGTAATTACTTGACCAAAGAGTGGTATATTTGATAACATTTAATAACGATAGAAATTTTTACGATACTTCTCCAGACGTTTCGTTGTTCTGAACAACATCGTCAGTGGATAAAGAATGTGACGATGTTGTTCAGAACAACGAAACATTTTGCAGGTTTGCCGAGTGGAAGGTGCGACGTGCTCCTCGTGTGCTCCGGATGGCAGTCGTGAGTCAGTCAAGTGTCAAGTTCGGCAAGAAGCGTGTGTTCCTAGTTGGAACAATCAACTTCATGACTATTACCGCCGAAGTCGCAACTTCTAAGTTCGTGTTATTAAATGTTATCAAATATACCACTCTTTGGTCTAGAAAGAATACTTTTTGATATTACAATGAGAGTGAATAATCAACGGCTTGTCCACCAACTCTTTTAGTAATTACTTGTCTGTGTCATGTGCATGCATTGTCTTATTTCCTTTTTAAGGCTACAGCACAATCAGGAGAACGAAATGTACGTCGCAATCAAGCTATGTCGTTGCCATCTTCTATGTGCCATGCGTTACCTGATGTGCCAGCCTGCTATGTCGGATACCGCTAACCATGCATCGACTAGGCGCCAGGCGCGAACTGATGGTGGTGGCAGTGGTGGTGGTGGTGATGAGAAGGAGAGCTCTGTGCAAGAATAACTTTGCAGTTTAGAGAGCGTGTCTGGGCAGGCGTGTATTTACCGCCATATTGCCAGGTGTGTATTTACCACCGTATTAATCAACCATGCGCTACCTGATGTACCAGCATGCTATATCGGACACCACTCACCCTGCATCGACTAGGCGCCAGATGCGAACTGATGATGGTGGTGGTGGGAAGGAGAGCTCTGTGCCAGAGTAACTTTTCAGTTTAGAGAGCGTGTGTGGACAGGTGTGTATTTACCGCCGTATGAATCCACCACAGTACGATCAGCTGACGTTATAACTTATAAGGATGATCTCGTGCAGCGATATGATGATATTTTTTCAGTCCTTTCTAAGGACTCTCCACTGCAGCGTTTTCGTTCCACTCGAATATGGAAAACGCGGAAGGTTGTTAGCACTGTGTTGAGGCAGCTATTGTTGACTTTATTCGGAATTAATTCTGTTGTATTTGCACACATTCCTGATTGCATTGTATTAGCATCCAATGTGTGTTATCTGTGCGAGCTTCTAACCTTGTGAACATTCACCGAAGGTTTGGTTGGTGGCGCACAAGATCTTACGGGATGGCTCTTGCGGGCTCTCAGCCCTGCGTTTACTGCATAAAACATGGCAGAACAGTTCAAGCTTCAATTTAGGCCATTTCCTCACTCTGACTCCCAATATTTCACATGTGTAATAATTATAAGTATTGTAGATCCCTGGGACAGCGCCATTTTGTTAGCCAATGTTAGTCCTGAAGAAAAATTGACTTCATTGTCCTAAAGGTGAGAACAAATAGGGACTATTTGTGAAGGAAAACTTTGGAAAATGCAATTTCGAATGTAAGTCATTTCGTTTATCTGGATTCGTCCAATATTTCACAAATGTGCAATATGAGTATTGTAGATCACTGGGACAGGGCCACTTAGTCTGTCAAAGTTAGTCATGAGGAAAAAAATTATTTCATTGCCCTAAAGGTGAGAACAAATTGGGACTATTTGTGAAGGAAAACTTTGGAAATGTAATTTCGAATGTAAGTCATTTCGTTTATCTGGATTCGTCCAATATTTCACAAATGTGCAATATAAGTATTGTAGATCACTGGGACAGGGCAACTTAGTCTGTCAAGGTTAGTCATGAGGAAAGAATTTACTTCATTGCCCTAAAGGTGAGAAAATATTGAGGCAATTTGTAAAGAAAGGATTACCTCATCTTAGGTGGTCAAAGTGCCTCAGAGTTCCAGTGGCAGTGCAAAGCCAGTGAGTTGTTGTTGTTGTTTCTTTATTTTACTTCACCATATGAACAGGCAAGACTGCCTTCTCACCGGGGCTGTTGGCCCACGGCTCTCACAATATGATGAAAATGTTTAAAATGTGTATGAAGAAGAAAGGAACGGAAAAGAAGATGAAATGAAAGGAAAGAAAACAGTAGGTATTAATTTTATGAAGGGGGGGGGGGTATGAAATGGGTATTATCATAGTTGATGAGAGAAGTATGATATACAATATTCTTGCTCTATAGACTATTTAGTACGGGCATTTCATGAGAGTCATGCATGGGCAAGGCAGGATTTGGACTAGGATAGAGGACAAGAACATAATTGATGAGCATCTGTTCAGGCAGAATCTGTGAAGAAGACATAGTAGGCACAACATCGGAGAGCTAGTTGACGAGGGAGATGAGGTCATAGCCAGACAGCAATGCTTGAAACGTGTGGCGTACGTCGCA